TTTAAAAGGTCATTATGAGGTAGAAACAACAGAATCTGGTGACTGGTAGGATGTAAAGGAATGAAGAGGAAAAAGGAATCTAGGTGCATGTCCAGGTTTCAAGCCTAGAAAAGTAAATCAGTCCATGTTTGTGTCCTTTGATACTGCTTTATTTCTGTACTATTCACTTTGGTAGTTTATTTTATATGTGTGTGTATATATATATGATTTCATATAACTAGTGCAAGAGTACTACATATTAAAGCTTATTTGCTGCTTTCTTTTTTGGGGGGCATTAAATCCAGAGCTTTTGCATTGAGCTACATCCCTAACCGCCCCCACTCCTCCCTTTTTGGCACTGGGTCTTGCTAAGTTCCCCACGCTGGGCTCAAACTTGGGATCCTCTTGCCTCAGCCTCTTAGGATTATAGGTATGTGCTACCACACTTGGCTCAAGCTTATTTCTTTATGTTATAAAAATCTAGCCTAGTTTAAGTTAAACTACTAACAAAACAGAATAGAAAACACTAAAGAGAAAATACAGAATTACCAAATTGTATAGAGAATTTTATATATGGTAATTATTTTTGTTAAATATGTGTGATTCTTAATTTCTTACTTTGATGTGCTTCTTTTCCCACTTAAAATGCCATGTTTATTTGTGTCACTGCTATCTTTTCTCTCCCACTTCTTGAGTGCAGACACTATTTCTCTCACTCCACAACCTGTCCAGAGCTTACCATGGATCTTTGTAGTAATGGGAAACCTTTCAAAGCATTTCTAAAGGTGCCAAATGCTGTGCTAAGTGCTTTACATCAATTATCTTTTTTGCCTACACTAAAGCTTTATGTAGTGCTGTTTTGATCCTCATGGGTAAGCATAATCTATGCACAGGGTCACCAAAGCTCAGAGGGATTAAGTGACTCACCTCTTGTCATGTTTGAGGTGTTGAACCCAAGACTCAATTTTAAAGAGTCCATAGTCTTTATCATTACTTCTTTTTTATTTTATTACTACTTTATTACCATTATCCTCCTCTTGATAACGAGACTATAACAGATAATGCAATTTGTGTTTTAGTCTAGTCCCTTTTAAACTCACTAGAAATTTACTGTGTGTGGCCATCTCTCTTGGTTCTTTAAATATATATTAGAAAGCAGGGGATTGTTGGGATTATGACATGTACTTTAAAGTGCAGACTTTTTTTTTTTTTTTTTTTGCAGTACTGGGGATCGAACTCAGGACCTTGTGCATTGTGTGGCAGGCGCAGCATCACTGAGCTAAATCTAAATCCCCAGCCCTAAAGTGCAGACTTTTTAAAGTGTTTATTAGTTTTCACAGTGTGGAAATCCAGCCATTGAGAGTTGATAAGTAATTTCTCTGTCAAATTCTAAAGCTCCTGTCTTTTAATTTCTTCTCCCCTCTTCCGTACTGGGAGATTGAACCCAAAGCCTGAAGCATGCTAGGTGAGTGCACTATCATGGAGCTACATCCCTAGCTCTGTTGATCTCTGTCCATCCATCCATCCATCCATCCGTCCATGTAGTTTTGAGGCAGGATCTGACCTAATTCTTGGGATCCTGCTGCCTCAGCCTCCTGAGTACCTGAGATTACAGCCGTGCAGCACTGGTTCTGACTTAATTTCTTTTTTAAAATGTTCCTCTACTCGCTTCTCTTTTTTTTTTTTTTTTTTTTTTTCCAAAAACAGGGTTTTGCTATGTATTCTAAGCTGTGTTTTGCCAGCTGGCCTCAAACTCGTGATGCTCCTGTTTTAGCTTCTTAAGTATTGGAATTACAGGTGTACATCACATGCCTGGCTCTGCTGCTTTATTGCTTATTTTCATTAAACAATTTTTAATTTTTTATTGTACATGAAAGATGATAATAGCTCAGACTAAACCACTTGTGTAGAAGTTGAATCTAGCACATGAGTAGAGAAAACTGATGAAAAAAGAGTATAAAGGATTTCTTGCAATTCCATAAATTATCTTTTTCTAAAAGTGATTCATGAATGCTAGGAAGATTCTTATTCCTCTAGAGTTTCTACTTAAAATTCAAACTTGTTTACATTCATTCCAGGTTTTATTTTTTTTCAGCACTAATTTACAGGCATTCCTCATTTAACAACTGAGTTCAGTTCCTTCAACTAGATCACTAAATGAATTGGTCATTAAATGAGGAATTTTATATAATAAAGTATGTATATTACAATATTCAGAACAAAGAAATGGTCAAAGGGAACTCCAACTTGATGCCTTTGCTTTTATTTGCATGACTCTTACATGCAGTACTGTAATGTCTAACAACATAAAACTACAGAACTGTACAGTACAATCAGCAAAAATTACAGTACTCTAGAAACAAGGTATACTGTAAAAAAAAAAAACCTCTATAAACAAGATGTATAGAAAAGTACAAAACACAGATGGTAAGTCCGAACAGTTGTAGGTTGTTAAACGAGGAATATTTGTATATTTATTATTTTCATTTTTTTAAATGTGGAATAAGAGTAAGGAGATATGTTTAAAGGGATGCCAGTGGTATTGCTGTATCCTAATATTTAGTTCCTAGGTTTAAGTCATACAGAATCTGATGAAGTCACTGCTTTGAAACATTTATTTTTCTCCATTTTGTAAGATTACAGCAGCTAGGGCTGTATGGCTCAGGAAAGCAATAAGAGGAACGTGGGAGTTGACCTCAACTGAAGCATTGTTATGTGGGAAAAGATTTGGCTCCTTTTGTGTAGTCCCAGTGGATGGAACCTACGTGTGGAGTTTATAGGGAAACAGTTCTGTCTAAGGAAGAACTGTCAGGTATGCTTAGAGTGGGAGTTGGCTGCTGGGAAGGGAGTGCAGTGGTCCATCTGAAAATTTGGGAATATGAATGAATGACTGACTTCTGGGTGTGTGTGTGGTAGATTCAGAGACCAGGTGGAGTAACATAGCATCAGACCTCTCCCACTTAGTTATTTACCAGGAAATAGGGATAAGAGGTAGAAACCAAACAGCTAATTCAAGGTGAGAAAGGAGAGAGCTACAGCAGAGTGAGTATGAGAAGGGAAATTGAGGGTTCAGTATGTCTCCCATCTACTAGAGTACAACATAGTTCATGTTTTCTCTGCCAGGGACATTTAATAAATTGTTGGCTTTTCCTTCATAAGAGGTTCCGCAGAACTTGAGGATTTTTTGGCATGGTTACAGAGAATGAACAGTTGTTTTTGTAATAAGCTTCTGGCTGGAGGCATCGAATGATGCTAAGTCAGAAGTGTTCAGGGTGTGAATCTTAGGTGTAAGGAACGGCTTCTGTCAGTTGATGTAGTTTTCTTTCTAGTAATTTTCACAGTTCTATCTTGTTACATTGAACTAAATGTCAACAGTAGGATTCGGCCCGAGATGATTTCTTGTGTTCTGAATGTTTGGGTATCTGAACTAGGTAAAAATGTTGTGTGAACATTTTTAGCACTGGAGATTGATGTAGGATAAAAGGCTGAAACTGGGTGTGGAGGTGCACATCTGTAATCCCAGCACTTAGGAGGCTGAGGAAGGAGGATACAGAGAGTTCAAGGCCAGCCTGGGCCCCATAGTGAGTTTAAGGCCAGCCTAAACTACATGTCGAGACACTGTCTCAATAAAAAATAAAAAAGGGTGAAATTGATGTACCCTTGTCTTCAACCAAGACTTAACTGATTTCTGGGGTAGAGTAAGGTGAAGAGTAAGAGTTGGAATTTTTTATGTCAAGCCTGGATTTAATTCTTGGCTCTACCATTCACTACCTGTATCACCTTAGACAAGTGACCTAACTTCTGAGCCTCAGCTTTTTCATCTGTAAAGAGATAGTATTTCTCATAGTCAATGTGAATGTAAATGGGATAATGCATTTAAAAAGTATATACATGGTTAAGAGCTTAGTAAGTATTACCTTTATTTTTATGGTAGCAGACTTATTTTATTATTGTTATCAGAGGTCATCTTGGAATATATGCTGCTTATTGTTTTTTTGTTTGTTTGTTTTGAGACAGAGTTTTACTATGTAGTTCAGGCTGGCCTTGAACTCACTATGTAGCCCAGGCCGGCCTCGAACTAGCAACAATCCTTCTGCCTCAGCCTCCCAAGTGCTGGAATTACAGGTGTGCACCACCATGCCTGGCTAATTCCACAGTTCTTCGAATGGAAAGAAACAAGGAAAAGGGGGAAAAGGTTGTTTAGAAGTAGTAATAGACACTCTTCTACCTTTATTTCTTTCTCCCCTCTTCTCTGAAGAAAGGTTCAGATAGAAGTAGATAAGTAGATGTGGGAATCTTCTGCATCAAGATATCCATAAAGTGGTTGAGGTTGTAGGAGTCAAAAAAGGAAAGGGTTCAAGATTGAATTGTAAGTGGCACAGACATGGGAGGAACGAGTTGCTTTATTACACTGGAAAGTGCAGCTAGAAGTTGGTAGATCTGAGTTCTAGTCTCATTCTCTCTATTATTGGATGGTGCACCTCTGGGCCTACCACTTCCCTGCTATACAGATTGGACTGGATCACTAAGGCTCCTTGCATAGCCAAGATGCTCCATCTGAATCTACTTGAACCAAGAGCAGGTGAATCAAGATAGTGTCGTGTCCTTGAAACAGGTATTTGAAGAATAAGTAATGTCAGATGTTATAGAAATAAAGCAAGATGAGGGCTGGGAAAAGGGGAAGTCCCCAGGGGGCCAGTTGGTCTAGAACAGAGGAACAGAGGTCTAGAACAGAGGAACAGACAATATCTGCAATGTTAGATTTACTGTGGAACACCCACCTGGTATTGAGAATTATTCCAGATCCTCTCACTGACTTTGTAGATAACATGGATGTTAATAAAATTTACCTGAATTAAGAAAAATGGAATTACGTGTTTTTATCAATAATATATAAATTAAACTATTTTGAGGATTCTTTTCAAATTTAAACTTTTTAGTCTGATGCTGGGTAAGATACAGCTAAATCTTATTTCTCTTTGGGATTTTAATTGTAATTCTTGAAAAATTTTTTTTTGTAGATAGTCTTTTCATTATGGATGGAGGTGATGATGGTAACCTTGTTATCAAAAAGAGGTTTGTGTCTGAGGCAGAATTAGATGAACGGCGCAAAAGGAGACAAGAAGAATGGGAGAAAGTTCGAAAACCTGAAGATCCCAAAGGTATATAGGCCTATGATTGGACACATAGCATAATAATCTGTAATCCTCACAATGACCCTGCCAACGAGGTATAATTGTCCCCACTTCAGAGCTGAGCCTAAGCTCAGAGGGCAGAGTAATCTATATAAGGCCTCTGTAGCAGACCCAGCTCATATCCTTGCCCCTTCCTCTCTGCCGCACTTCTTCTAGAAGATTCTGCCAGACTATTCTATTTATATGGATGGATCTATGCTCTGAACAACAGAGTGCTGCTTCTGAAAAGGGTTTGGGCTGACCCCTCATCCAGTTAACTCTCTCAGGCTGTGGGCCCTACTGATATTGATAGTTGGCTTTGAGAACTGGCTCCTCTCTGAGGTCCAAAGGGAAGCTATGGTGTTTGTACTATTTTTGTGTTATCCTGCCCTCAGTTCATGTAGAGACTTGATTTTATATTTAAAACTCTTTGTGATTCCAAAATAAGGTGAAAACATAATAAAGTATGTATTTGTCTCTTTCTCTCCTGTCTTCCTTTCAGAATGTCCAGAGGAGGTTTATGACCCTCGGTCTCTCTATGAAAGACTACAGGAACAGAAAGACCGGAAGCAGCAGGAGTATGAAGAGCAGTTCAAATTTAGTAAGCTTCAGAAAATACAGCTGGAGGGACTCTTCAGGGCTTTTTTGATGCACTTTTGCCTCATGCCATACTTTCTAACTAGCAGTGGAATTGTCTTGATTATCTAGTCTCCAGATGCTCATTTGGTAGAAAAGAGCTTTCTGCCTTCTAGACCACATTGAATATTTTTGTTTAGAGCTCAAGATACCCATTTTAATTCTATGCTAATGTCTAGTAATGGGAAAGAATGCCTTGATTTTATGCCATATTATCTATCTAAAAGCCATGATGTTTAGCTTTTCTTTCTTCTAATCCCCTGAAGAATCCACTGTTTATTAATAAAAGGGGGGGGCGGTGGAGGAAGGAAGGAAAAGTCAAATAAGACTGTATTTTCCCTTTAGTCTACTTAGTGTTCCTTATTTAATTATTTCCTCAGAAAACATGGTAAGAGGCTTAGATGAAGATGAGACCAACTTCCTTGATGAGGTTTCTCGGCAGCAGGAACTAATAGAAAAGCAACGAAGAGAAGAAGAACTGAAAGAACTAAAGGAATACAGAATATCCTTTGTATTTTTTTTTTTTGGTACCGGGGATTGAGCTCAAGACCTTGTACTTGTGAGGCAGGTGCAGTGCCACTGAGCTAAATCCCCAGCCCCTTTGTATTTTGAGAGGTATCTGTGAAGTGTCAGTTTTCTCATAAATAGGAGGGTCTCCTATTTGTTAATCACTAGCCTGTTTCAGCACTGTTATTCCTGTCACTCTGAATGACTGGCAATGACTTGTACAGTCTATGTTACATGCAAAAGTCTGTTGGGATCAAAAGTCTATATTCTTTAGGATTAATTGTGGACATAAATCCTAATAGTAGCAGGATATTCTTGTCTTGTGGGATTAGTCTCTGAGACAGATGGACAATGCAGTCATTCTCATCCAGGGGAAAAATTGGCTTCAGAGTTTTAAAAGGACATGTTTAGCATCTCTCCTCTGTTCTTAGCAAGATCTTCCTCCTTGATACAACTGGGTTCTTCCCCATAGAGGCCTGAGAATGCAACAAAAATTATTTCGCTTTGCTCAGTATTGCCTTCTTGGAATCCATATGAATGTCTTAATAGGCATCCCAAAATGTTACTTGACTGAATCCAAATTCTTCATTCCATGCCACCCCTGCAGCTTGCTTCCAATGCTGTCAGCCAGAGTTTCTTCTTTTCCTGGTATTCCAGTTTCAGTAATGTGCTTCCGTGCTCCCAGCTGCTGGGGCCAAAAATTGCTTCCATAGTGTACTCCAAATCTGTCTTAATACTCGCTGTCTCTAATGCCCCTGTAGCAGTTACGGACTTTCTTCTGGACTGTTAATGATCTAACTGGTTTCTTTAAAAAACATTTTTTTCCTCCCAAAACATTTGTCACATTTAAAGTATAAAATCAAATATGTGGATCCAGATATATGAACCACATTCTAATTGTATTCTGTTTCTACTCTCATCCCCAGCATTCTTCAGACAATAAAGGGAATTTTTAAAAACCTATGTGGCATCATGTTGCTTCCTGTTTGTAACACTCTAGTGGCTTTCTGTTGCATTTAGACAAAAATATACATTCTTTGAGTCCTATAGGGCTCTACATGATTTAGGCCAATCCACCTCCCTGTTGGCATCTTAAAACCATTCTTTCTCGTGCAGTGTACTCAGCTTGCTGCCTTCTTTATGTTCCTCTCTCACACCAAGCTTTGATTCCATCTCAAGGCCTTAAATTTGCTATCTTCTCAGCCTGAAATGTTCTGCCCTCACATTTTACAGTGTTGGCATATCACAGCACTCAGGTCTCAGCTCAGAACTCTCCCAGAGGCCTGCCTTAAGTACCCATCTACAGTTGCACTCATTCTGTCGCTACCTTTTGTTTTGCTTTTTGGTTTGTTTTTGGTGCTGGGCTTTAGTCCAGGTCCTTGTGTATGCCAAACACATGCTCTGCCACTGAGCTACATCCCCAGTCCTGTAATAACTTTTTTATTTTATTTTATTTTTTTTGGAGACAGGGTCTTGCTATGTAGCTCAGGCTAGAGTTCAAGGACTTGAACTTATAGCAATCCTCTTGTCTCAGCCTACTCAGTGCTGGGATTAGAGGCATGTACCATCATGCCTGGCTGTAATAACATTTTAAAAAAATTTTTTTCCTATAGGGAAATACAGTAATTACACTTTTACTTGAATTATGTCTTGTTTTATGCTGGCTGACTGAGTTGGATGCCTTTCAACTTCTAACTAAAAGGAAAGAGAAGAGAAACTTTTCTGTCCTGGTAACAGTGCAGTAGAGCATTGAAGATGCTCCAAGGGCTATTGGCTTTAATTAATTAAACTTGAGAATTTCTGACTGTCTAGAAAAAGTGAAGAAAAGCAGGCTTACCAGCCGCTGCTGAGGTATAATGCACTAATCTCAAATGTAGAAGTAGCCAGAGCCTCGTTGAGATAAGAAGGGGAGGAGTAGGCATTGGTTTATTAGATTAGGAGCTGGCTTTTGGCTTTGATAATTATCACATGATACATTTTATAATCTGATACTTTATACTTTTGAATACAAGTAAATTGTGTTTTGTGCCATGTAAACAACAGAACTTTAGTTCCCTCTTATGTTAAACTATTTATTATTAAATATTTTAGGTTAAATATTTAGCAGTATTATGAGTGTTTAAAACTATGCCCCATCTAATGAACTTCTTGAGATTTTTTGCGGTATATTTATGTTTTTAAAGCATTTTGAGAGGAGGGAGACTTAAGGGAGAAAAATCTTAGGCTTTGGATGTGTATAAAAAGATACTGCCATCCTCTCATCTTAAAAGAATAAAAAATTAAATGTTATTTTTTGTGTCCTGGTATTGATGCTTTTGTTATATATTTCTATTTTTGTTTTACTTTAAAATATATAATACTGAGAGTTTTCCTTCAGAGTTTCTGTCCCTTTGTGTTGGAGCTGTAAGTGAAAATCACACATGCTAATGCTTGTAGGCATTCCCTGCTAGAAAAATGAAATATCTGTTCTATTTTTTATAAAAATGAACATATGGTACTAACATGTTTCCATGATGACCTTAAAAACATTAAATTGATGGAACTCAGAATAATACTGAGCATTATGCATAATCCCCCACCAAATACTGGATCTGTTGAAAGTAACCATCACCTGTAAGAACAGTTAGTGTTCAAAGAATGATCAGAATGAGAATGTCCATATTTCTGGTACCCTGCTTTCTGTATTGCTCAGACATAGATAACCTCAACTATATATCCCCTATGTCTACTCTCTCTTTGGGGCTACTTAGCTTTCTTGGGCACTAGATGTCACTGTTGTTCCAGTAAGGCACTACTGCAATTTAAGAACTTGCACCTGAATGTGAATGTGTATTTATCTGTTGTCAAGTTGTGAAAAGGGGCAGAAAAGAAACAGGAGGGAGCTGGTGGAGAGAGCAATAGAAAGTGACAGACCTTGAGAACCACAGGTTGACATCAGGAATGAAAGATAATGTGACATGTTCTGTTTATTCTTTTAAAACAACCTCCAGTTCCTGAGTTATGTTTGCGCAGCATTTCTCATTAAAAGCACCTTAAGAAAATGTTAAAACCCAGCTCCTGGGCATCTACTGTGCCTCACTCAGTGGACTGGGGCAAAGGGGGGACTATGTCTCAAGCTGGATTTGACTGGCAGAATGAGGGAGGAGTCTTTGGTGGGGGTAAGTAGGCCAGATATTACATGGTACCACCAAACGGCCATTGGGTTATATTTGTCACCCTTCTCATGATTTACAGTCACCCTGGGGCAGCTCTTTGTTTTGCTTAGTTTGACCCTTAACCTGTAACTCACAGTAATCTCAACAAGGTTGGAATCTCTGCAGAAAACAAGAAGGAAGTGGAGAAGAAACTGCCTGTGAAACCAATAGAAACCAAGAACAAGTTCTCCCAGGCAAAGCTGTTGGCAGGAGCTGTGAAGCATAAGAGGTTAGCCAGCTCTTAGAGTAAATCCCTCTGCATGTGCTCTGCAGTGCCACTTATAATGGTAACCAGTTCTACCAGTGACCAGGTGATCACTTAGCACAAGTCTCTGTGAAGTTCTTCAGTGTATTCACCTCAGTCTTTTTCCAGATTTGGCATCTTCTGTAGCCTTTGACCCTTGTCTCTTTGATCATTTATTCCACCAACATAATAATAGCTCTTCATTGAGCACCTCCATATGTCAGGCATTGTTAACTACTTCCTGTGAATGATGTAATTTATTCATCTCACCAGTTCTATGAATTATTGTTATAAGCCCTGTTTTACAAACGAGAAGACCCAGAACCTCAGAGGTTGAGAACTTTTGTCCAAGGTCACACAGTGATAAAGCAGGAGTTCAGTATTGGAGCCTCTGTGTTTTAAGGCAAATAAGATAGCAAGTCCTGTGAAAGGATTACATGGGATAATAAGCGCAGGAAGAGGAACACAGCTCTGCCTGGCAGGTGCATGTGCTCATGCTGGGGAAGTTAGGGAAGACATTAGAAAGATACTGGGTAGGAGACAAGCAGGCAAGGGAGAGAACCTCTCAGGCAGAGGGAACAGCTGCTGCAAAGACACCGAAAGAACCTGACAGCTGGGACAGGGTTATGGACCTGGCTGTGGCCCAGTTTGATTGATGTGGTAGCATTACCTAGAGCTTTTGCTAAGCACTTCGTCATGTTTTCTTTCTGAATCTTGAAATGGTACTGGAGTGATTGAATATGGTCATTTTAGTTTGACTAACCAGACCATGGGAGAAAGATGTTAAGTTTAAGAGCAGTCTGTTAGGAAAATCAGTGTGATATGTTGGCAAGTGGCCACATGTTTTGAAGAGAGTGTGTTGATGCAGTCTTGCTGTTTGGCACATCATCTGCTGCAGATGTTCCTGGGAACATTGCCTACATGTAAAAATGTCATCATGGAACAGCAGCAGAGAAGAGGAATGTGTAGCCTGAAAAGGGTCTGCTAAGCCACAGATTCTTTCAAGATCTCATGTAAGCTCCTAACTTCCAATGTCTTACCAGGATTTGGGACCTGGCTCACTCTTATTGGACTGGGCAAACCAAGGGCTCTAGCTGGTGCAGGATGGGTGTTGTCTCCCTTACTTAGTCTTTGGATCACCTTTAGAAAGGTCTCTGCTAACTTACCTGGAGATCTGCATAGAACCCCTCTTGGGTTTTGAAACTACATCATTTAATGTTGCTTTGTGACAAATCAACCTCCGAGGGCAAGAGTTCCTCCTGATCTACACTGCCTTATTAGATCTCCCGGGAGTCTGTGAATAATGTACATTTCCTACCAGGCAAGGTGGCACACACCTGTAATCCTAGCACTCAGGAGGCAGAGGCAAGAGGATTGCTGCAAGTTCAAGGCCAGCCTGGGTACATAGTGAATTGAAGCCAGCTTAAACTACATAGCAAGACCCTTAAAAAAAAAAAAAGCACTGTAGATCCCCAGGCCTCACATTAATTCTGGTTCAGAAAGTTTAGAGTGAAGTATGGGAATCTGTATTGTTCCAAGGATGATTCTGATGCCTGGTGAAAGTCTAGAAGCCGCTAGTGTATGTGTGTAGGAGGCATAAAAACAAAACAAGCACTTTTTTCATACCTTCTTCAAAAGGATGTCTTTTGCTTTCGTCAAGTTTATTCTTATTTATTGTTATAAACAGCTGTCATATACCTGGCTCATTCATTTTCAGCCTTTTCAGTTAGCATCCAGAGCTATAAATGTTCCCCAGCTTTCACTGGATACAAATTCTGTATTTCTTTCTAAACTTTAAGTTTCTACTGATAACTTTGAGTTGGGAATAATTTAGAAATATATTTTTAAATTCCCATATTGAGGTAACTTAACTGTATTTCATTAGTTCATGTGATTCTCTGCCACATCTTAACACTTACCATTAATGGAATCTTAGAGGCTATTAAGTATCATATTCATCTTTTGTTACTGATTTTGAACAATTGCCTTGTGGTTTGTATATACTGATTTTTTTGAGGTAGGTTTAGACTTTGTCACTCATTCCTGAAGTTAATGTTTGTGAATGTTCCAAGTAAGTTTGAGGAGAATCAATGTTTTATAATTATTGGTGCTGGATTCTATCTATCTGTCTATCTATTTATTTATTTATTTTTTTGGTACTGGGGATTGAACTCGGGACCTTGTCCTTGAAAGGCAGGTGGCAGAACCACTGAGCTAAATCCCCAGCCCCTTCTGGATTTTATTTAGATGCAACAAGTCAGGTTTGTTTATTCTATTGTTGAATGTGCTGTATTTTATCTACTTGCCTTATTGATGCTTGAGAGAAATATTTAAAAGTTTTCCAGTATCATAGTGATTTCTTGATTTCTCTTTGTTGAATATATATTTTGAGTATATTAGATGCATTAATCAGATGTATACATATTCAGAATTGTTATTTCTTCGTAGCAAATCAAATCTTATTAAGTAAGCTGTATCTTTTATAATGCTTTTGCTTTCAAAGCCTATTTTCCTAATATTAACATGAGTTACCCCAGATCTCTGTAGTATTTGCCATGGTACCTCTTGTTTTTGTTTGAGTTTTTGAGAGAGGATCTTGCTATGTAGCCCAGGCTGGCCTGGCAATCCTCCTGGCTCAGCCTCCCAAGGGCTGGGATTACAATCATGTGGCACCATCCCTAGCTGTATGGTACCTCTGTTTTCCATTCTTTTTACTTTTAACCTTTCTAGTTATTAAGTTGTTTTGTTTTTCAATAAGTTTTCAGATGCATCTCTTATAAATAGCTGCTTCTAAATTTATTTTCTCAATCTTTTTTCTAGTTGTCTATATTAACATTTTTTATATAATTTCTACCATCTTAATGTTGTCTTTTTACTTTTTAAAAGTAATTTCTGCCATCTTTTTTTTTTTTTTTTTTTTTGGTACCGGGGATCGAACTTGGGCCCTTGTGCTTGTGCAGCAGGCGGCGAAACCACTGAGCTATATCCCCGGCCCCTATATTCCTTTTTAAAAAATGATTCAGATTTTAAAATCTCATTTTTCTTTTCTTTTCTTTTTTTGGCAGTACTGAGGATTGACTCTGGAACCTAAATATTGAGCTACATCCCTAGCCCTTTTTTTCATTTTCTTTTATTTTTTTAATTTTCCTTTTTTTTTTTTGGAGACAGGGTCTCACTGAGTTGCTAAGGCTAAGCTCGAACTTGTGATCCTCCTGCCTCAGCTTCTCAGTGCTGGGAATACAGGCATGCACCACCACACCTGCTTTTGATCATATAGTCATATTTAACACCACAAATTTGTTGTTTTTTTTTTAATACAGATGATTGTTTCGGTTTGCATTTGCCAGTTTCATTGTATATTATCCCTTCCTTCTGGAACTCAGGCCTTCCTTCTGGGATAATTTGGTTTTTTGTTGAAGTATATTATTTTAGTGAAAGTGTTTTTGTTTCTTTGTTGAAGTACGTTATTTTATTTTATTTTTGGGGGATACCAGGGATTGAACTCGGGTCCTTGTGCTTTCGAGGCAAGCAACAGCAGCACTGAGCTAAATCCCCGGCCCGAAGTACATTATTTTAGTGAAAGAATCTTTAGTATTTTATTCTAGATGTTTTTTTCTATCTTTAATAACTAAATTTTTGTCATTTGTGAATAGTATCCAAATATTCTTAAAATGTATCTGTGGTTCTAACCAGGTTGAATGATAAAAATGACAATCAAAGGTTTACATGCGTCACCCCTTGGATTTGTCAGGAGTTTGACTTTGTAATGAATTTTATAATTCGAGGAGATTAAGAACCTAAAATGAAGGCTTTTCATTTCAGAGCCTCACAGGCCTCCTTCAGAGCCTCCTGCAGGTTGCCTAAGACCCATATATATGGTTTTAATTCCCAGATTGGACATAGCTCAAATCACTGTGTTTTTTATTACAGCTCAGAGAGTGGCAATAGTGTGAAAAGACTGAAACCGGACTCTGATCCAGATGACAAGAGTCAAGGTGGGTGGCAGACTTTCTTTTTCCATGGTACACATGAACCACGGTAAAGGGCTGAACGCAGTGTATCTGTGAATGGATGCATGTCTTTCTCTCTTCAAACAAGCTACCTAAACTTCATTTGCCCAACTGTTTTATACCAGGCAAGATTGATTTCCAAGACTATGTCAGTTGGCCTGCAAAAATATTGTGTTAGAAACCAATGGAGCTCATAAATGACAGTTGTGTTTTCCCAGGACTGCTTACAAATCCCTGGTTAGATGACCTCTGGTCACAAAGAGTTTTTCCTCTGTCTCCTCCAAATGCCAAGTTTCTTGATTTCACTGGGCTTGCTCCCTGTGGGAGGCAGAATGCCTGGCTCCTGCTGATTGTTGGAGTGTACTAGGCCTAGAAGCTTAATACAGTCTCCAGGAGTACACTTTCTTTAGTGGTTCCTTTCATGTGAAGAAACCTCTCTGTATTAAATGGAATGAAGTTGTAAGTGAGGGAGGATATTCCTGAGGGTCGGATTAGGGATGGAGAAGTCAGTAGTCTGTTTTCAGTTCTACATCTGACTCCCTGTGGGATCAAGACTCTGAGCTAAATTCAGTGGGTCATCTATAAACAGGGCTTACATTTATTTCTCTTAAAAAATAAAAAATGGGCGGTCCCGAGGTCACCAGTCATGCTGAAAACACTGAATCAGCCTGCGCCCTGGCAGCAATCCACTGCCCCCCCCCCTTTGGCCTCTTCTCTGTACAGCCACCTGGTTCCACACTACAAAGACGCAGAGGACACCGGACCACCAGACCACTGTACTGGAGCTAATCAAGTTCTCAGCATTTAAAGAATTCCTGCCCAGAGGTAGGGGTTTCTGAGCCGTCGTCCCACTGCTCCTGATCCAGAG